GAATGCTGGTTGATGATGGTTCGGAGAGAGTGTCATCGACGAATTTTAGTTTATTCTTGGATTGAACGCAAGTTTCATGGTGCGAGTCCAAACATGATAATTCTTGTCATCCAATAAGGTAGAGGCAAAAACAAGGGTAGGATTTTCATTGGAAGAAAGAAAGAAGGGATTTGAGATATTAGTGTGAAAGTCAGTATAGAATTCAGACGTCATAGAAAAGGAGGAAGAAATTAAGAAATAACATCTTATATCATCTTATTGTTCATATACGTACGATTGAATTCATCTGTTTTTATTAAAAATTTCTCACCCTAAAAAATGAGTACAAACAGGGTATATATATAATCCATAGAATAGAAAGGAAAGAATTTATCTTAAATAAAAATAATATAAAAGGGGAAAAACAGGATTTTGATGTAGAAAAACAATTAGGTTAATGTCACCGAGAAACAGATCAAATTATAATTATTTTATTTTTCCTTAAAATATAAAGATAAAAATTGATTAATTTGTTTTGATCACACAAGTCAACAAATTAATGGTCCATATAAAAATTAGGCTACTTATAAATTTATTTCCACACTTTAGCTTGTTGAATATGTTGAGTTTGACCTAAAAATCCACTCTAACAACTCTTGGGGCTTCTATTGAATCGATAAATAGATTTAATTACTCCATTTTTTTATAGAATATCTATATTTATCTATATAGATAAGATATCTTCTGGATAATTCAAATCGAACCAATTGAATGTCTGACTCGAGTTATATGACATAACCAATCAATAAAAAAACTCTATTATCGATAAATATGTTTTCGGCGCTTTATAGTCACATCACAACATGTCTATAAATCATTGTTCTTTGGAAAAAATAAAATTTCCACACATATTATTCTAACACCTAGGGTTCATTTGGAGGGAAGAAAAGAAATTAGAGATATGGGGAAAAAATTGAAAAAAAAAATATTTTTTTTATCAATCATATTTACTTTTATTTTTTAAAACAAGAAAAATTAAATTTTTCGATGGACAAAATTTGTATCTTAGAGTTGGAGACTCGATACTCCAACCATTAAGCTACTAGAATTTTCTCGATAATAAGTTACAAATAAATTATATTTATATACAAATAAATATATATTTATGTAAATATATAAATATAAAATATATAAATAAAAATATATTTATATATTTATATGTTATATGTGAGGACGTGCTTGAAGGTGAAACTGTGTGTCGAGTGAGTTTTCAAAATTTTGATGTCAAATTTATTAGCGGATCTCTTTACATGTGTTTGTAATTTAATGATAGAATATAATCTTTATAATTTATTTATATAATGATATAAAATAATTTTTTTTAATTTATTCTTTTTCTCTTCTTTTTTTCTTCTATTATTTAATTAAAATTCTTATATTAATTTTTTTTTCAATATTAAAAATACTTAAATATTTATTTTTAAAATTATTTAATTTAACAAATTATTATAAATTAATCTAATTATGATTAAATTAAAATATTAAATAAAAAAAGTATTTAATTTTTTAGGTGAATAATTAATTTATTAGAATATATTTAAAATTAAATAATTATTATATAATTTTAAATATTTAAATTTTTAATTTAATATTAATTTTTAAAAATATATTTTAAATTTATCGACAATGTTCGTTGGTAACTAATTGTTAATTTACCGATGCATATATTCATCGATAACTAATTATTTATTTAATAAAATTGTTAATTTTCAATGGATACATTCAACGATAATTAATTGTTCATTTACCGACGGATTTACTTGACGGATATCCGTTAGTATAATTGTTCATTTACTAACGGATATATCCGTTAGTAAAATTAAATTCTACAACCATTTTAAATCCGTCGATAATTAATAAATTTTTTTTAGTGTTTTATTTTTATTTTCTAGATGATGAAATAAACAAAGATACATATAGAAACATAATAGTTGAGATTGTGAAAGAGTTTTCAAAATAGTGCCAACTGCCTCCTAGTTTCCAAATTTGCATTTGTGTATTAGTTGGACCCATGTATAATGGCTTAGCTAATTAGGTTTTAATCATCAATGAGATATACTTTGGCTTCATATTCCTAATCCGTGATTAATATATTATCTCTCTTAGAAAAGAATAAAGAAGCATGACCAAATATTAAATATCACTTGTTAAATGAAATAATAAAATCAGATCTTTATTTCCACTTTTTAAACATAAGTATATTTGTTTGCATTTCTTGGATACCACACTTACATATTTTACTTTGTTCAAAAAGCAATTATTAGGGCAAATTTAAATGTAAGAGTGACCTAAAATGGTCGGAAAAAAAATGCAAAAACTATAGTTCTCGAAGCACTTTCTAAAAGAGTTATATTCTGATCTAAAAAAATGAAAGCGTAAAGATAAAAACCAAATCTATTAGAAGAGGAAACGCAGATGAATGTAAAAAAGGAGTAGATGGATGAAGAAGAATAAGAAAATGTGTATAGATTTTATTCTCATCCAGAAAACATGAAAGCATAAATAAAGAAGGAAGACGGACGGTGATTCCGAAAGAACGAAGACTTAAGAATGATAAAAGAGTAGATGAAGAAAAATCTGAAAATACAGCAAAACAAAAGGAAACAAAAGTGATAAAAGATTAAAGATTATGTACAAAAAATGTTTTTTTAAGTATTTTTATGCCGAAAATTTCTCGTCTATCACGTATTTTGATTCAAATTTAAAAATTACAAATCTGAAAATAAGATTGAAAAATCCACTTTTATATAAGAAAATAGAATGCTGAACTTACAAACTTCAAATGCACATTTCACATATTCATCAGGTAATTAAAAAATCTCTCAGACATTATCAAATATCCTTATTTTTATATTTATAATTATCTATTTCTTTCAATTTATGTTATTTTATTTAAATTCCATCTTAAAACTGAATTTCGTATTTTTTTTAATTACAAATTGCCCATGATTAAAAGTAATTCTATAATACAAATTATCATATATTAAAAATATTTATTTAATAAAAATTTTGATTATATAAAACTAAGATATCGGTCTGTCTATTACACAAAGATAAATTTAATTAAGATTAAATTACAAAAGTAGTTTCAAATAGGAGCAGGAAATAATGTCCTCAAACTATATTTGCTGATTTTATATAGAAAAGTTAAGATGATAAATACGAAAGAAAAAGTCCATCATTAATAAAGACTCAAATGCATGTTAAAAATATAAATGAAATGACCTAACAATTTTACGTGATATCCTCCAAAAATATGCAAAGACTCTCTCATAGTAGTACACAATTAACCTAGCAATATATATTGTAATTATGAAAATAAAAAAAATATTATATGTGTTTTGAAAATAATATTTTTTATTCAAATAACTAAAAATAAATGTAATTTTCATACATTGCCAAATAAGCTAAAAACCAAAAAGTATAATACAACCTGTTCACACATAATTAAGAATTGGCAATTAGCACAGTCCTTAGCCTAATTCTAATTAAAAGATAAGAGAAGGCTTTTTCTATTTAAGTTAGGGGTTTGATTAATTATACTAAAGTTCTTCCATATTATTTTTTTAATTAAGCACTCTAGCATACCCTACTTGTAGCAGGTTGCCCTAGAGACGTGAAGACAACTTATTGATTAAACTTGATTTATTAGGTTTGTTTGGTATTGCTTTTATTATAAGGATGTATTAAAATTTAATTAAATTTCTTAAAATGTAGATAAATATATGTAAAGTAAAAAACATATAATTTTAATGTATGATGTAGGTTAAACGCAAATCAGTATTTATGTAAAACTATGCACATCTAGCTTATGAAATACTTTCTTCCACGTAAAACAAAATAAAAACCATATAATTTTTTCTTGTTACAAGATCCAAATGTTATAAATTGAACTTCTTCTTTTTTTGTTATCTTTTCATACAATAATAACCCCATTTATTTCCTCCAAATTTCGAAAAGGTTTTTAATCAAGCACGTGGAAGGGATGATTATTTAAATAATCAGGAACAATTACTAGAAAGTATTGATTACTATCGGTTGACTAAGAATTAAATTGAAAATATATCAATTTTGAAACTTAAGAAACAAAAGGAAAAAAATTGTTGACCGGACAAAAATTGGTCAAATCCAAGCAAGCGTTTACAGTACTTAATTGAATTTTATAAATGTGTTTGACTACTATTCATTCAAATTGAATCAAAATTATATCCATGAATCAGGACGATAGGTTTAATAACACAATTATCACTCCATTAATTCATAAAACCATGATTGAAATTGATCTTATCTTAATACTGATTCAAATTTAGACAGAACTAAATGAATGAATGAGCACCATAGAGGGCACAATTATTCCTCAATTAATTCTGAGAAACATGAGTGAAAGTAATCGTTGGTTGAACAGAAATGAGTAGGTAAAAGAGAGGGGGAGAAGGTCAAAGATGGAGGAGCAAGACACATGGCAAAAGGGGTTTGGATTTGGGTATCAAGCCGAGGTGGGGCCTTGGTGGAGACCCATGTGTCAATGAAAGGGAAAGGGATGGAAATTGAATGAGGGGCACATGGGCGCAGCATATTTTTTGGCCTTATAAATACCCTTCTACACGTATCATCTTCTACACATCATCTGCTACCATCACGTGCTTTCCTCTCCCTCTCTTCGCTCTCTGTTCTCTCCTCTTCTTCCATTCTCTCTCTCTCTCTCTTTCTCCCTGCACCCTTTTTCCTACCTTCCATCGTTATCTCTTTTTTTGCCTTCTTCCAAACCTGCAAATCTTATCCAATCTTTTGGTCGTTAAGGATAGATATATACTCATCAAACTAGCTAGTAGTTTTGTCCGTTGGTTGACAAAGAAAGAAACCTTTATATTATTCCTCTCTAAACACATAAAGCTAGCTACCTTGTTTGGTTAATCACTATTAGTCGTAAGTGACACTCACACAACACACACACACCAGACATGGAGAACAACAAAAAGAAGGTGGGAGGAGGTTCTTCCTCATCATCACTCACAAACTTTGATCATCTTTTTGGTCCCAAGGACCCCTCCACCACTTCATCTTCATCCACCAGCATCTTTGGCTCCATCTTTCCACCTCCTTCAACTGTATGCATGTCCCCCTCCAACTTTCCTATTTATATTTTTTATCCATATGCACGGGTTAACTTTGCTCAATCTTATGCCCTGCATGTTTTTGTTTTTGTTTTTTTGAGATTGTTCGTTTTGGCAATATGGCATAGTTATTGTTTTTGTACTTGACCAACAGGTCTTTTCGGGAATTTGATTGCTCTAATGTGTTGTTATAATAACAAAAAAATTAACTTCAACGGTTTATGGTTTTAAGCCTTAAGGTCCTTCATTCGTTTGAGTCAGTATGTATCACTAGCACACCTTTTTACAAGGTAGTTATTGGAAACATTATGGTCAAACTCTTCTATCTAGGTAACTAACTATAACTACATGTCTAAAAAAAAAAAAAATTCATTTATTGCTTATCTAGTTTTTTTGCCATGATATATTCTTGCACAAAATGGAGTATATAATAAGAGTATGTAGATGATGGTATTTGACTTGAGCTAGCTAGCAAACAAGTTGTTGAGTATGAATTTCTAAAATTCTTTTGGTCTTAGTTAGCTCTTCTCTGTGCGTGAATGAATATGTTCTTGTATCTGTACTCTTGGACTAAAGTTAATATCAGCTTTGGTCTCTGAGCGATATGTATAGCATATGCTGTTTTGTGAAAACAATTGACATAACATATATACTTAACCCTGTTACGTACTCTTTATATAACTTTAGGTTGGAGGGAGAGATTCAACAAAACAAGACATGGGAAGCAAAAATTATGGAGCACCAGGTTCGTTATTAGACATATACCACTTTGACCTGAAGTACTAAATATGCCCTCTTTCAGTTCATCTCAAATCTTGTCTATACACAGGGAACATGTGGCTTTTTCAATCCAATTTTAGTGTCTGGGCTTATTTAGTAAAGCTTCAGTTGGATTCGTTTCAGGAAATTACGGTTACAAAGGTGAAAGCAGCGGTGTCCCCAACAAGAATACCAGTACCAATTATCAGAATGAGCCAGTGGAGCCCAGTAGTTACTACAGTTCATCAATCTTTTATGGTGGTCAAGAAAATTATTCCCCAAGAACCAGGACCACTGAATCCCACCACATTGTGAGTGCCTTAATTCCCATCCTCTATCATGATGATGGTCCATGCTGTTGATTGCCAAAGGGATAATTATCTAACATTTAATAATATTATTAAGTACAACCTGCACTGTTTTTACATTTAGTTACACATATGCTTTAGCAGCACATATTCTTTATTTTTTAAACATTTCCCTTAAGCTTGCTTTCATATGATAAAGAAAGGAAGAAATTAAATCACACTTTCTCTATTTTAGTTTTCCTTTTAACCTGTAAAAGATAAATGCAAACACAAAAGTGAATAAATTCAACTTTAATGTTTTATTAACTAATTGATGACATTAATTGAATATATATAACTCTTTTTGCATGGAGAATTTTCACAAAAATGGAGAGATTGAAAAAACAGGATATAGAAGTTTAATGAGAAACCATATGCTGCAAGGCTCTACGTATAAGTAAAATAGTAACCTTACAATGCAATGAAGCAGAAATTGGTACTTTGTAGTTGTAAATATATTTACATGCATACATATATGTGTGTTGTATTTTTTTTAATCAAAGCATATTTGGCATCTTTTTGCAGTTTAAGAAAGACAAGGATGATGACGACCCAAATGGTAATGATTCAAACAGTGCTTCAAGAGGGAACTGGTGGCAAGGTAGGACATTCTTGGTTGCCCACGTAGCAGAAGAAAAAGAAATAAATAAACATTCTAAGTGAAGCAAAATTTTCTGACTTTATTATACCTACATTATTTTCGGTTTCTGCAGGTTCTCTTTATTATTAACATCTGCCAATGTAAGCAAAGCTTCGCATCCTGTAGACCAGGTATTTGAAATTCAAATGTAACTCCAATATTTTTCCTTCTATTATGTTGATTGATTACAGAGCTAAAATTCAAGAGGTTGAACATGGTATTTTGTTCCCTTCCAAAATAATACATAATTCTGTTTCTCTTCATAGCCACTGTAGAATAGTCAAATTCTACTGCTAAAAGTCCACTGTTAATATACGTGGTATGCAAAAGAAACATTGCAACTTTATGTCCACACTCTTCAGCACACACTGTTGGAATTTTCTATATATTTACTGATTCACTATTTAACTGATCAGCTTTGAAACATGGACAATTTGTTGATGTTGCAGGATAATATATATGATCGACCACGTACGCTGTACGCAGTAGCGGTGCTCTAATTAAGTAGGGAATAAGACATGTGGTAGCGGACACTAGAACTCTTCGACATGTGTTGGGTCCTCTTTGTCACAGCTCGCACATATAAGTTTGTAGCACATGACAAATTAATCAACCTTAGTAGTTAGTACGTAGTAGCTCCAAGCCATAATTACTTCCTGTTGTGGTGTTCTTATTTCATGCAAAAAGTTTCGTGTTGGTGACTGACTTTTAGTGGTGTTCTAGAATCATGTGATCTTGTTACATGTACTTTAAGGTTTCCCTTTCTATCCGCTGTAGCATATTGCATTTTGTGACTTATAAATAAGAGTTGTATTTTTAAGTTTGCCTTTCCATTACATTTTCTGTAAGGATGAATTAAAATGTACAAAAGGATACAAAAAAGCTCATACATCTGAGTAATCACCAATATGGAAAAATGAAAAATGAAAAAACAAAGTAATAACTCTACCAGCTAGGAGTCAACAAATTGCAATAGTCAAACTGAATTGTAAAAACCGTTTGACTGAATTAAATCAACTATATAATTGTTCAGACAAATCAAATATAATGCAGAACAGTTTGGGCAAATTAAATCAAGCTAAATTGCTCTGACTTATTCCAAACTTTAAACTATTTCTTCACTTTCTTTTATATATATTTTACTTTCGAAGATGGTACACAGAGTAATAATTAATATTTTTATTCATCACAAAATCATTTTTACTAACACGGTCGTAAATATTAATTATAAGTTTAATTTCACTATATATGCATTAATTGTTATTCTTAAAGTAAAATTTTACATATTTTATGAATTGGATTACATAATAAAATGATTAAACTTTATTGAATGCTTGTGTAAAAATATTTACACTAAGTTCATGTAAATTAAATTCTATTAGGCTTTACTTATTAAAAAATTAACTTAAACTTGTGCCAATTTTTCATTTTAATTCTTAATACACACAATATAAAGTTGTTACAATGTAACTTATTTATGAGCCTTTAACCACATACATACAAAACACAAAGTACTGTAGCCTTTAACCACTTGGAAAAACCTCATGTTGCGTAACCAACATTCAGTCTTCTTCAACCTGCAATTACATATCTCAGTGAGCATCTGCTAAATGTGATGACTATGCACATTTTTAATTTAGTTTGTTTTAGAAATTCATATGATAATTTATCAGCTTCTTAAGATAAAGTTAGTGAAAGTAAATGATTGATTATTCTTGATGAATATATTGACATACCTTCATGATAGGTAGTTATCTGGTAGGTGCTCTATGGCTTGGTGAAATGGCAACGATGGGGAATTGTGATTGCGACTTTGGGATCAACACCAACTTTCTTGAAGGCGTCAGAAGAAAAAACAGCATGCAAGCAAGGGATGCTGACCTTTGTAAGGTCTTTGCAGCACTGTGAAGAAACAGGAGCCCTTATGTCTCGTGCAGGCTTTTCACAGTGACGCAGCTCATGCGTCAATATTCTAACCCTGCTATACTTCCCGCATGGACCATCTTTCTCATGTTCACGATACTCAGAACCGTGATCATCATATTCACCAACTACCACAGTGATCAGAAGCAGCACGAGGAACCCCACAAACTTGCTCATCGTTACTCTAATTAAATTTAGTTTGTTGTGATTGATGTGTATATTTTGAGTAGCTCAAACTTGGAATGCAACTCATACAAAATTTGCGTAGCACAAAGCTCTCTATATATTGCTAGATTAGCGAAATAAACAAGCAACCATGTACAAAACATCGTTCAGGAAGCACCTAGATTCTGCATATTATTGAATGTCTTGGGAGAAGTTTTGTGCCCGCGGATTCTTACCAAAGAAGCAGTGGGGCAAGGGAATACTTTGAAACAGGAAGCACGGGGTGTAGCTTGGTCTGTAGTTGTTGGTATTAGAGGTATTGTCTGGAAACAAAACAGTGGAGGCTTTCTTTCTCTTGTTTTCAGTTTCAGCACGTGATGCTACTGGTTTACTAATAAAATAAATGCAGGCTCGATCTTCTACTATCACACGTCTTCTTCTTTTTATACTTTTTTTTTTTAAATTACATGTGATTCTCGCATATCATCGTAGATGAAACTTCCCTTCCTCTTTAATTTTAAAATAGATATGAACTTCTTCTCTATATATTTTTAATAAAATAACACCAACCTCTCTTGTAATTTTAAAATAAATATTTATCTTTTTTTAATAAACAACACTCATTTATTTTATAGAAAAAAATACCTTATTAATTAAAATTAAATGAAAAATTCATGAAAAAAATAAGATTTAAATGATTTAACTATTATATATTAAAATATCATAAAAACTAAATTCTAAATTATTATAAAACTTATATTTTGAATATTATTTTAATATAAAATAAATATCTATAAAATATAATTTTTGTTAGAATTAGAAAATATTCAGATAGTATTATATGTACATATTAGTATTAGTTGTTTCTTTGTAATTGTAAGTTTGTTATGATTGTATAGCTGAGATATTATAATCTGTATATTAACTTTGTCTCACTCACAAAAAGTGAATAAGGAAAATCAATTTTTAATTTCAAACTGATTGAAGTTCTTTATTTTCTTTCTCGATCTTGGTTTCCATTCTTTCACAGTTTGTTGTTCTAAGTTTTGCCATGGAGATTTCCTTTTTCACATGGTATCAGAGCTCTCTGACGCTGCGGAAAACTTTGATTCTCCGTTCTTTGCCTATTTTTCCTTTTTTCTCCATGGCGAATATGAATTTAACTCTAAATTCTCTCAATGATCCAACTAGTGCATATTATATGCATCCTAACGAAAATCCAGGAGTTGTTCTTGTTTCTGCTCAGTTAGTTGGAAATAACTATAATTCTTGGTCATGCGCGATGATTATGGCATTGAAATCCAAAAACAAATTGCAATTTGTGGATGGATCGTTAATTACCTGATCAATCTATTGTGCAAAGCGTAATGTGGCTTGAGACTATTTTTGAGGTATGGACTAATCTTAAAGAACCTTTTTATTAAGGAGATATGTTTAGAATATGCGAATTGCAAGAAGAATTATATTGTGCCAAACAAGGAAGTTTATCTGTTAGTGCCTACTTAACACAATTGAAGGGATTGTGGTAGGAATTGGACAATTTCAGACCAATTCCTCCCTGTTTATGTCAGATACAATATTCATGTTCATTGATTCCCACTATTAGATCCTATAGAGAATATGACTATGTGATTAGATTTTTAAAAGGATTGAATGACCAGTATGTTGTTGTTAGATCTCAAATTATGTTAATGGAACATTTACCAAGTATCAACAAGGTTTTTTCAATGTTTGTGCAACAAGAGAGACAAATGAATGTTATTTCTGATGATGTGAAAGTCTTAGCTAATACTACTGAATAAGCAGTCAACAGAGGCAATTCCGATAATAATTCTGGTTGAGGAAAGAATTATAGAGGCAGAGGAAATTTTAATTCATCAAGAAGAGGTAGAGGATATTCAGGCAGAGGTCAATCTTCAAAAGTTTGCACCTATTGCAACAGGAATGGTCACACTGAGGATGTGTGCTACAAGAAATATGGTTTTCCTACCAATTACTTCAAAAATTCCAATAGTGCAATAAATAATAATTACTCAGGAAATAATGATGATGAGTATGATGATGACAATGTAGATAAGTTGTCACAAAAGGAAACTCAAGAGGAATCCAATCTGTTTTTCACTCCTGATCAACATAAATCTATTTTAGCAATGCTCAAACAATCATCAAATTTACAGCCAATGCATAGCACAAACCAGATAACCACATTAAATACATCAACCAAAAACCACCACTAGTGCAGAATATGGCTTTTACGTCACCCAATTGTCGTCGCATGCACGTATATTCGACGTAAATAAAACGCGGTGGCAATTTTGTAAATATGGGACAAAAAATTTACGTCGCACACCCCAATAGGAGACGTAAAAAGTCATCTTTTACGTCGCACTGGGAGGCGCGACGTAAAGATGGCCTTTTACGTCGCGTGCAGGGGGACGCGACGTAAAAGCCTTAGCTTTTTACGTCGCGCCCCCCTGCACGCGACGTAAAAGGCCATCTTTACGTCGCGCCTCCCAGGTGTGACGTAAAGATGACTTTTACGTCGCTTACTACACTGCGCGACGTAAAAAGTCTATTTTATTTCCCTCCCAGCCCACTTCCTCGTCTCGCGCAACCAGGGTTTTCGGGTAACCTAGATGATTTGTTATGCTTAGTCAAAACCAACACATGGATACTTGACACAGGAGCTACAGACCATGTTTGTTACTCCTTGTCAGAGTTTCAATCCTTTAGAAAAATCCAACCTATTTCAGTAAAACTACCAAATGGTAATGAGGTTATTACTCAAATTGCAGGCATGGTAGTGTTTTCCAATCAATTCTAGTTGTCCAATGTCCTTTACATTCCTAGTTTTAACTTCAACCTAATATCAATATCAGAACTAACCAAATTTCTCCATTGTAAATTGATTTTTTCTGATTTGACTTATTCTATACATGATGTCCTTATATTGAGGATGATTGGTGTAGCTGAGCTCAGAGGGGGCTTGTATGCTTTGAAATCCAAGGATTTAACCACTTCATATATTCTTGATATATACTATATTGTTGATAATACACATACGGCTCAATTTGTTTTTGATATTTCTACTATGAAACTTTGGCATAGAAGACTTGTACATCCATCTCATGATAAGCTTTTAGTAATGAGTATTAATTTTCTCTTCATTTCTTGTACAAAACAAAAGTTAAAAGATGTTTGTGATATATGTCATTTTTCAAAGCACAAGAAATTACCTCTTCCTTGCAACAGTGATCATGTTTCTCATGCTTTTGACATAATAAATGTAGACATTTGGGGTCCTATTTCTATTCCTTCTACTTTAGGATATAGATATTTTTTTACTATTGTTGATGATTTTACAAGACACACATGGATATACTTTATAAAAGTAAAATCTGAAGTTCCAAAATTAATTGAATTTTGTAGCAATTACATTGAAACACAATTTGGTACAAATCTAAAATGAATAAGATCTAACAATGGAACTGAGTTTAAACTTACTGTTTTCTATAATTCTAAATGGATTCTTTACCAAACTTCTTGTGTTGAGACACCTCAACAAAATGGTGCTGTTGAACGGAAACATCAACCTATTTTTGGAGTGTCTAGGGTTTACTGTTTCAATCTTTTTTACCTAAGTGTTTTTGGAATTTTGTTGTAGCTCATGTTATATATTTGATAATAAATCACCATATCAATTACTCTATAATCAAAATCCAAATATAGTTTACTTGAAGGTTTTTGGATGTCTATGTTTTGCTGCTATTTTAATTGCTAATAGAAAGAAACTTAATCTTAGGTCAAGAAAATGTACATTTCTTGGATTTAAGTCTAGGACAAAATGATACATCATATTTGATTTAAAAAGCAAAGAAACCTTTATGTCAAAAAATGTTAGTTTTTATGAACATATGTTTCTTTTTGCTCATAGTACTTATACTACTAATCATGATAAATGTTCAAGTTCTACTTTACCTATAACAACTTTTTCTGAAAATGATCAATTTCTCAACTATCCAGAATCTTATTCTAACTGAGAACCGCATGATGTATTATCTCCACCTCATATCTCTATAACCAATCATGATGAACTCAATTCTTCACATTCACCCACCTCTTCTAATTCCAATCATAATATAGAACCAGAACTTGGTCCTATGCATAATATAGAACCTCGAACCCACACTTAGAAGATCCAATCTCTCTTGATCTTGGTTTCCATTCTTTCACAGTTTGTTGTTCTAAGTTTTGCCATTGAGATTTCCATTTTCACAATTTTCATAATTTTTTAATTTAATTTTTAGTAAATATATTATTTTAAAACAAAATGAAAGGTATAAATGTTATTTTATTAAAATATAGGAAGGTAAATATCTATTTTAAAATTAAAAGAATATAATTTTCATTTTATTAAAAAGTATTTTGAAACTTGATTGGTTACTAGTGTCATCTAGCAAAACGTGACAAAAAAAGGGTGAATGTATTTTAAAAAAAAAACTATAAGCATTGGATTTTATGAAGAAAAAAATGTAAATATTTTTTAATAAAATTTATTTTTTTCAATATTTTTTTATTTAACCTTAAACTTTACTTAAATATATACTATGTCTAATTCTAATATTGAAACTATCCTATCAATCTTTTTCATTGAAATCAATAAAGCAACAAAAAAAATATATATATATATATATATATATATATATATAATTTTATTTTTATTTTTTATTTTTTTTGTGGTTAGGGGTGAAATGTCACTCGAACCCAAAGTTAGTTGGTTCTCCCGAAAATGCATTGAGGCGTAACAGTTGACTATACCTCTAAGGGTAAAGCACTATTTCAATGCGGGTCATTAGAACAAGTACCAAATTGAGGCAAACTCCGAATACTAGATATGACCTTAAAATAACAAGGGTCAAGGTCGACCAATGAGACGATAGAGGATAAACTTCATCGTCGAGAGGGAAACAGTCTGAATCACCCGTTAAGGCTCCTAAATGACTGCTCAGTAATAAAGAAGATAGGGGTGCAAAAACAACTATGAGATTTGCCTAGAAGCGAGTTACCCTTGAAAGAAGTGCGTAATAATATATATATATGTGTGTTTGAAATAATCTAATATTTATTTGATAAATTTTATGCAATGAAATCATAAATAAAATTCATTCTAAAGTTTAGTGAAATAAATATGTGGTGAATTTTGAAATATATAATATTAATTGGATTAAGAAATTCTACCATTTATATAAATCATATTAAATTATTTTTTTATATCATTATTATCAAATTCCAACTAATTCTGTCTAACTCAATTTTTTTTAGCTAGATAACTGAGTTTTATATGTTTAATTCAATACCTAATTTATTTATTAAAATTTTAAATAATATTAACATAATTATTATTTAATTATTACATTAATTAAATACATTTTTTCCAAATATTAAATAATTTTATCTAAAAAAACGTTTTAAAAAATATTAAAAAATGTTTTGAAATCAAAAGTTTAATAAAAAATATTTTTAAAAAACTGCCAGCAGTTACACGGAATTGATAACTAATTCAAAACTTGAGATTTCCAATTGATATTGGTAGTGTGTAATAGAAGGTTATGGGAGGGAGGTTTAACGTTGTAATTTGTGAACTTAATGAAAATGTTGAAATTCCCCAGCCAGGTTTGGTGATTTCCAAATCCACAAGTTTCAAGTCTGGAAGATGAAATATTTCAGAAAGAAATTCTCCAAAAACAATGAAAAATGGAGTCGTTGCAAAGATGGAAGATTTGGGAAAATATCAAAAACAGGCTATGGAATAGTGACATAATTGAGACGAACAATTCAAGACTAATGGAATTTTATAAGCATGTAACTAAAATTATCAATAGTTATAAAAACTGTGCTGTCATCTTATCAGCGGCCAGCAAAATAATGTATTATTAAAAATAATAAATAAATATAAAAAATTAAAATTATAAATATATTTAATAATCATTAAATTTTGAATAAAAATTATATATATATATATATATATATATATATAAATTATAAAATTTTAGGAAATCGTAACGTTTCTTGAAAGAATCTTGGTCACTGCTAAGGTCGGGACAGTTCTTCGGAGCTTTTTGCTTTTCTTCTATTTTTTACTTTACTCTCTCTTTTTCACCTTTTATTTTATTCCGTTTGTATGCATTTTGAATGAGAGAGGACATGGCGTACTTAGTACATGGCATTAGAAGAACTTACGTACTCGAGCCTGTATAGCTTACCGATGAAGTCAGAACAACATCAAATGGGCTCTAAGATGCTTCGTGGTTTATGGACAAGATGTCTATCAGCCCGGCCCATTTGTCATTTCTATCCAATCATAATCAAGAATGAGCTTAAAATTGCATTTAAATCTTTCAGGAAATTCTAAAGCAATTAATATATTGTTATCGAGTTAAGTCCAGTGGAACTTATTAGTAACTGGAATCAATAATAAATTATTCAACTTGTATATTGATTCAAAATTAATACGAATTATTTCTTAGCTTGAACTCATTTCAATTCAAACCCGTTGTAATTCAAGAAATTTGTAGTTACATTCTTTTAAAAATAAATCATATAAAAAATTAATATAAGAAAGTAAAAAGACATTATATTTAATTATTTAATCAATGAAGTCAATTTTTAACTCTAATTTAATTGATTAAATTCAATTTCAAATTCATTTTGAGTTTATTCAATTAATTAAACGCTCTGTCTAGTAATCAGAAAGAAAAAACAACAAACGGGTAGCAAATGAAAGAGTGGACCTTAATTATCTCGTAAATCACAAGCCAATTCGCTGGAAACTACAGAGAGAAACTAACACTTTGATCATGATGAAGATGAATAATTGTTTTAGTAAGAACTGCTGGAACCAAAAGGCTTTATTCAAATTCCAATACATCTGTAAATTGAGTTTGCAATGCAATTGAAACCCCTACTCCATCATTTACATAACACTATTGTTTGGGTGAACCAGAAGTATTATCCACTAGAGAGTAAAAGACCAATTCCTGAAATACAATGCTACAATTTTTCAACAAAAGTTCGTATTAACAAAGATGTCTATCTCAAAGCCTGATTCAGAAGTGACACTACCAAAACAAACACTTCCATTTCAGAGCATATCAGTATTTAATCTATCTTCATTCAGGGTCAATTTTCCAATTTCAGTGTGAAAACATCGTCTATCGGAGCTCAAAACTTCTAGTAAGATCCGAAGATAATTCCATTCACACAAGAAACCCACCAACTCAAAATTCACTAGCAATCGAAACCTCCGCAATTGCAATGAAGACAGACACGTAAATTAGTAGCATCAAAACATTGCAATCGCCTTAAAAGCGATGGTGTTCATTCACAGAAAGACTAGCGAGTAAAAGCGTAGAGAACGAGCGATACATAGATGAGGAGCGCGATGGGGACGAAGATGAGAAGAGGAACGACGGCGGCGTAGGTGTGCGAGCTTCCGCAGGCGAGCGTTCCAAGCTTGATCTGCGCGACGTTGACGAGCGCGAGCATTAGGAAGGCGCATCCGGAGACGGATCCGACGGCGGAGACGAGCATTCCGATGCGGAGGGCGCTGCGGTTGACATGCGCGACGAGGTGTTCGACGACGGCGGGGTAGTGGAAGGAAGTGGTGCGAGAGAGGCGGATGGCCTGCTTGAGCGCGAGGGCGACGAGGCTGGAGAAGAGGAAGGAGCTGAAGGAGTAGACGTGAAAGGCGACGAGATTTTCGGCGATGGCGGCAGTGGGAGCGCACGCCGGATCGGAGTTGAGACTATTCTGCGGATCGTTAGGGTTCCATGTTAGGCCTATGAAGACAGCGAGAGTAAAGAGCGAGTTCACATTCACTATCGCGTCTAAAGCGGTGATGTGAAGACTCGTGAAGGAAGAAGAAGACATTGCTGTTGTTTGAGAGAGAGAGAGAGAGAGAGAGAGAGAGAGAGAGAGAGAAGAATGAAAATCGATGCAACGAGTCTCACTGGAAACTGGTCATGGGTCAGAGTAGAGATGTACCTGCCAGCGACATAACGCTTTCACCGATACGTTTTCTTTAAATAGAATAAATTTATTAGTACCTTATTGTGGGTCTTTTTGCGTGTTGAACACTTTTTTTCTTTTTTTAACCAGTAATAATAATGATAAATAAATATGTTGCAAGTAATGGGTTGGAAGACATGTTTGTTACTTATGTTATGTCATACGTTAAGAACAGTATGACCAAACCCCAAAGATTATGTTTCCCACTTTCCATTTAACCAATAAATATGTACCTGAAAATAAAACAGAATTTACTAATACTTAAAAATATTACTTCATTTGTTTCATTTTTATTTATCGTTTAATATTTTCTAAAAAAAATATGTACAAAAAATATTATTATATTCTTCTTTATTTCATTTTTCTATAATTATTGTGTGTTTAAGCAAATAATAATTACATTTTTTATAAATATATAAGAGTATATATAATTATTAATATATAAAATGAGATATTAGGAATCGCTCTCCCGCATAATTGAGATTAGTATAATTATTTATTTACAATATTATTAAAATAAATAAATGATAATTAATTTAAAACATAATCAAAATAATTAAAACGAGATAGAAAAGTATTAGATTTTGTTTAATTTTTAATTTTTCTAAAACAGTTTTAAATATTAATTTAAAAAAATTAATATATATATTATTTTGAACAATGACGTAAATTATTATAAAAAATGGAAAGTTAAAAAATTATTTTACTAATTCTATGAAAATAAAAATGAGTTATTTAATACAATTATAAGTGAAATGTTAATATTTATTAATAAAATAAAAGAAATTAAATTTTTTATCCATTTTTATTTTTTTTATTTAATGAAATAAAAGTAACTTTAAAAACGGTTTTAACAAAATAGTTATTAATTTTTTTTTAAATTACAAATCTGAAAAATGTTTTTAAAACGGAACAATATTATAAACAGAGAACGGAAGGGTTGATTTTTCAAATTTCTATATGAAAATTACAATAGCTATTGTTTTAATGGAAACGTTTATATAAATTACTTTTAATGATTATATTTAAAAAATAATGAAAGCGTGTGGAAAAATAAGAGTTTAATTTTTAACTTTTATTTGGAAAATGAATTTCAATAATTAAAATGTTTTTTCTTATAAATTAAAAATATATATTTCAAATTATAAAAATATTTATTTATTATGATATTCAATTGTAATATAATTTACAAATTCAGAAATATTTACTTATTTTAAAGTTTCGTAGTATAAAATAAATTTTTATCTAATCATTGCACATATTAACGTACTAATAGTTCTTCAAGTTCGTTAATTAATAAATAGTTTTTTTTACTAAGTTGGTAATTGTATTTTTTTAAAAACCCTTAAATAATTACTTTATTATTTAAATTTTTATATAAATTGAAAATCTAGTAAACTTTTTTTTTTTTGGGTGAAACTTATCGATCAAAACACCTATTAGAATCCAAAATAACAAAAAATCGAATCTTCCTTTTTCAAACATTAATCTCAAATCATATAAAATCCTTTCAAAATTCATTGAAGTTATAAACCTAATATTTCATATCTTACTTTTTCTACAAACCTGCCACATATTTGGATCAATGACGAAAATTGAAGAATTGGAAGAAAAAAATTAACAAAATAACAATTTTGCTTAATTTCAAAATTTTAATTATTTCGAAATATTTTGAGAGACTTAAATGGTTGTCCAAATCAATAATAGACTAACATATAATTGATCTTTAAACAAAATATTTTTAGTCATCAATTCAATCCATAAAATATTTAAAATGATCAAATATTCATTGTTACGATTTTATACTTTTTGAATGTGTAGCTGCTTTTGAAGAAAAATACTAAATAGTAAGTAAGATTTTTGACATTGTGAGGATCCATAAAGTCCAATAAAGTTGACATTTTGTGTCCCTTTAGCATGTTATTTAATGTGATTCCAAATCTATTTCCAGAGAAACTTGCAGAAGCAACCGGACAAAGGGGAAAAAGCGTACACGTTTAACTTCTGATGTGTATTTTTTAGAAGTTTTATGCTAAGATTTAAATTTTTATTTACAAACTTTTATTAATCAGGGCATTTGGTCTAGTGGTATGATTCTCGCTTAGGGTGCGAGAGGTCCCGAGTTCAATTCTCGGAATGCCCCACTTCTTTCACTTTATTTTTTCCTTCTTCACTCTTCAGCAACTTCCATTTGTCACTTTCTACTTTTTATCTTCACATCCGAGTAAGAATGTCTTAGGACCCACTTGTCAATTACGAGTTTATGATGTAAACACATAAGCTCCATTTTCGTATGTTTGGAACATAGTGAACTTTATACATTGTTCCAACAAAGAGGAGATGGTTACAATAAATTGACAAATATCATTAAATGCCAGCGTGATCTTAGCATATTTAAATTCAAAAACGGAACAAATGAATACCAACTGCTTCAGATCTCAGTAAGCTAGTGTAATAACACTATGAATTTGAATTCTCAACTACCAATAAATATATATTCGTCGTGAAAGATACAGATGTAAAAGTTCAAAAAAATATAATAAATGCTTTATAAGAGTTTGTGTTCCACTAAACTAAGTAAGCTTTGTGCCACCAAATCTCAACAACATAATGAGTGGCTCTGACGGATAAACCTTGGTAGTCATTTGGTCCTGTTTTTCAGTCTGCACGGGTCCTTGTCACGCTGTTGTTCGGTTTTCTTGCTAATTGTGTTCGAACATTTCACCTCAGTTGAGTTGCTGCATATCTTAGTGGTCTTTGTCTCTACTCCAAGATAATTTGACAGCACTCTCCTCACCCCAAAGCCACGACGATGAGGTTTGGTGCTGATGTTGTTGTTTTGGAGGAAAGGAGTTCTCTCCCCTCTTGCAGGACTGATGAGTGGCACAGAAGCTGGTGAAGGTGTGCCAACTGCTGCTTTGTGTGGAGTAATAGTGCCTGAGACAGACACTGAGTGTGGACGTGTAACCTTCTGCTGAGAAACCACGTTAACTGTAGCAGTAGGAGTAGCAGTAGGAACCAATGCAAACCTCTCTGAACGTTTGGTCAAGTCATCCACATATAACAAATCATCAATGCGAGCCACGATGTTAAATGCCATGCTCTCCAAAACTCTTGAGTAGCTCTCTAGCACGGATTTTCCAACATCCTGAAATGTTGGTGTGAAAATGTGTCAATAATATATACAATTTTGAAAGTAAGGATCGTTTGAAATGCTTGTGTGAAAATGTGTCACTAATGGTCTGCTTATTTTTTAGAGGTTTTCAAAGATTTCTATAAGAAATTGAAAAAACCAAAAATTACTTTGACTATTTCCTTATAATTTTTTAAAATGGAAATAAATAAGTGATAATTTTGTGATTAAAAAGTGATAATTTTCAAAAGGGACCTAATATATGCAATTAAGGAAGTAAAAGGATCATGTAGATGGATAGAGAAAAATGTACTGAAGCAACCTTGTTGCATTGGATCTTGCTGGTATCAAGGGTGGTTTGACTTAAGCCTGGGAACCGCTGCTTTAGGGAAACTAGAATGTTTTCAGCTCTATCTGCTAGCAATTCTCTCTTATCTCCATCAACCATGAAGTCCTTGACTATTTCCCATGACGATTTTGCGGTAGAACGGTTGGGATTTGGTGATGGTGAAAACCGAGAGTGACCTCTTCGGCGCCATACATAAATTGCTGCTTCCATACGGTTTGCAATCTCTAATGCCACATGTTCAGAGGATATGTCTAAGCAATCCAGAAGACACTCTTGGGAGAATTGATCTGATGTTATGTAACGGTAAACAAAATCCCCCAAGCAAGTTCTTCCATTCTGCAGAAACCCATATTCAAGACAATGTCATACCTTGACAGAAAATTAACTGAAGAACATTGCATAGAAGGTATTTAAATTCATCTAAGGAGCTAATCTCTCTTCATAGATTCTTTTATACGCACAAACCTATGATCAAACCATTGACCACGTTGCTTAAGGTAACATGAATGCAATAGAAAGATGTATGCTAGTCCCTTAAGTTTATTAGTAGATAACCAAGGTGCATTCAAATTGTAATGGTATAGTCAATATTCTTTGTTTGGTCCTTTCAAGTGATCATAGAATGACTGACACAAGGGGGAAAAGTCTATCAATGATAGAATTTAGATTAGACCTTAGGAAGAACTTCCAAATATGACTCAGGAACTTCCATTTCAGCCAAAGCAATGCTATTGATAGCCATGGCCGCTTTTAGTATTTGAGTTGCACATTCTCGAGAGTGATTCAACTGTTTTCTTGAATCTTCACTGAGTCCAGCAGGGGGGACACGAGGTACGGGAAGCCACCACTTATCTTCTTGCCGCTGAATTGTTTTGCGAAAAGAGGCTGAACCATCTGCATCTGCAGCTACAATTCCTTGGTCTACATACCAGAACTCTGTAGCAGTGAAACTATCTAAAATTTCCTATTATAAAAGAAAATGTATTAAGGCCTCAAACATTCAATTCACAGAAAATTACTATTTACTATTGAGCCATGAGAAAACAAGATTCAATACTCACGAGAAGCATGTTGTCAAGTTTGCGAAGAGCTGGAAGATTGATAAAAATATCTGTCCTAGGCCTGCAAGTCATTACCTGCAGAACGCAAAACATAGTGACATCATAATTAATTAATTCCCTTTTGAATAAAAATCAGATTTCAGCATTGAAGTCAAGAATAATCCAACTTTACCTCGAGCTTACTCCCATCAGGAAATGTTTGCCAAGAAGGCATTAACTCAACAATGTAATCACTAACACTAACAAGCCAATCCACCTCTCTCTGCCACATTTCTTTCTTCCCAGAAGGTAGAGGTTCTAATCTCCATAATTGCCCAAATACAGTTGCTACACGTTGCAAATAATCCATATTTGAATAAGTTACAAAACTCAAATTTACACCAAAACAGAAAATTAAAAATTTTGAACCATTAGCCGACAAAGACAAACCAAACAGATCCTCAATTAAACCCAGAGCCTCTATGTCAGTGTGTGCAAGAAAGAAAGCATACCACACAAATTAGTAATGGCATTAGAGATGGCCAAAGCAGTGCAAACCCCTTTTCCAGAACCTGACATATCTTCACCAAGCAACAATTTTGCGAACCTTTCCTTCATCATGTCAACTTCTGTTTCAAACAAATTAAAAAACAAAATCTAATAATTAGCAGTAATTAGAGTTATTTCACAAAATAAAAAGGGACATTATTTAATGACTTAAAAAATGGTATGATTATTAACTCCAACCAATTTAACTGAAAAAATAGTCTCTATCCTGTAAAATTCCCGTTCACAATCCTTTTCTAGTTTCAAAACACAGCATCATCCATATGTCATAACATCTAAAAAAAAAAAAAAAACTAACCTGATGACAGCTTCAAACCAACACGAGTAAACTTAGTGTCTTCCAAGTGGGATTTATGTTTGTTTTCTTTTTCATGAGAATTAGAGCGCTTGGAGACTGTAGCCTTGAGAATGGGCCAACCAAGAGGAGCGGGTGAAGAAGACCCTTTTGTCTTTGCTTCTTCAACGGAAACTGAAGAAGTGGATACACAGAAACTGGTTTCCCTGGAGTCCGCAGTGGAATCTGTGAGACAAGAGGAAACCCCATCTGTTTTGTTATGAGAAGTTTCGTTCTTGTTGGAAAAATCATCCATCTTGGTGAGAATGAAAGCGGCTTGGGTCGAAAAAAGGCAAATGGGGCAGTTAGCAGGAAGGCAGATAAGAAGATACTGGGGACGTGGGTTGGAACATAACGGTAAGACAAATGTGAGGTGAGTTTGAGGATATATGAAGGGACCGCTAAGGTTGTTTCATGGAAGAAAAGACGATGTAATGATGAAGACGTGGGGCTTTTTCCCAAAAGGATTCCATTTCCTGCACTGCAAAGTGCACACAACACACACTTTCTCTCTCACACCAACAAATTTGATTTCAAGTTTGAAGGTGCTACTTACCAAAATGCCAACGTCTATCTTCTGGCTTTCGCTCTCAGAGTTTGAAGGTACGTTCAAAATATCAATAAAAAAATTTGAACCTGGTAGCTGTGGGAGTAAGTAAGCGTAGCTACACTACACTACAACAACAACACGCTCAGCTATCATAATTACTTATTTGCCCTTTCACGTTCACTCTTTTTTATTTCTTCCAACATTTTTTGCCTCTGCATACAACCAGTAAGATTAAATAGCATTACCGAATTATTTAGCCTTTCAATCTAAAAGAAATTTCAAATAAAATATAGTATCTGATTCTGTCAATTATTTCCTATTTTCTTCCTTTTTAAGAATTTTGCAGATTATAATATTCTTTTCTTGATCCGACCAAATAACTGAGATTCCGTATTTTAGCATTTTCCATTTTAACTCCACAATAAATATAAATTAATTAAAAAATTAAGTGAAAAGTAGGTGATTGGTAAACTATAGTTAGTGTTTTTTTTTTTTTACTTTGAAAATTGTAAATAAATATAAATAACAGTTTTTTAAAACTATTATTTCAAGATTAAACCAAGGGTGATTAAAAATATTTGTTAACACTTATTTTAATCAATATTCTTTTTTTATGGGAGTTTATCGAATGTTACGAAATTATGAAATATTCATTAAATAAAAATATAAGACCTCAATAGAATATGTATCATGTTTCTGGGATTTGTGTCAAATAAAATATACAACTTTTATTTGTATGAAAAATCTAAAATTTATAAATTTAGAGGAAACAATGGAAAAATTTAGGTTCTTATTTAATATTTTCTTATTTTGATAGCATTATACTTTGAAGAAGAAGAATATGTGATTTACATAAAGAAAATCTACTCTTGGGGAAACGGTAAAATATCATGTGTTTGTGAAGATTTTGTATCTTATTAGGGGAAAATATATAGTATTTCAGTCCAATTGAAATCCCTTTTTAGAAAATAACTTTTATGCTTGAGATAGGTTTTGATTGTGTGGGACTTGGTGAAGTTTGTAGTACTAATTAAAGAAATATAGATGTATAATAATAACATAATAATTTTTGTGGATGGATATTTTTAAAATTGAAGAGGAGCTTGTATTGAAAATGCCACCATCACCATAATAAGGCCATAATTGGTCCCTCTTGTCTATATCTTATCTTCCAACTCCTGCTATCAAAGTTCTTGATGGCATTCATTCATATTCAATTTTGTTTGATTCCGTATCATTTATATTTATATTATATATATATATATATATATATATATATATATATATATATATATATATATATATATATATATATATATATATATATATTATATATCCTCAATTCACTCCCATTGCAAATTTAAAAGATAAAATATCAACCACTCCATTAAGAAATTAGTACATATCTATGAATTTGGAAAATCTTTTTATAAAAAAATGAAATTGTAATTCTTTTATCAAATTACTTCAAACAATTTTTATACAACATTTTTTTAGATTGGTTTGAGTATGTAACTGATCCAACAAGTCATTGTTGCATTGTTACATATTCAATTATATATTTTAAATATTTGTATGTTATGTTTGAGTTGAAAACTTTTTCATAAATAAATAATCTATTATTTTCTACCTATCTAATTTGATTCATATAATTAATCATGTGATCATTTAATCAGTTAAATTATAATAATTTACCTATAGACTCGCTTTGTAATAGATTAAATATATTCTGTAATAGAATATTTATAGTTGTGTGAATTTGTCTTGGACATGTTTAATTTACCTTTCACTTTTTCATTTCAGTTAATTTTAGTTTTTCCTCTACTTTATTCATGTTTTTTTAATGTATTTTTAAGGATATTACTGATCATGAGGCTGTTTTTTATACAATTTTGTTTTACACTTAAAATTATCGTAAGAAAAAAAATATATCTGGCGTTTCATTAAAACCAAATTTTTCAATCTTAGAAAAAATATTATTAATTTTCATTGCAACATGTGCAAACTGAAAGTCAAATTTTGAATTTTAATTAAAGAAACCAAGAATCAAATCACCTATATTTTGTGTAAGCATCTTATTGTCATATTCAGTTTCTTAAATTGGATAAATGTCCAAAATGGTTATCAATGTGTATGGAGTTGTCACTTTATTTCCTAAAAATATAATAATTAAAAAAATTTCAAATACATATATTAACACATTAGTTTATAAACTCAATTGTTTATTAAATAGATATTAAATTATCACTTATCTTACACAACTTTTTGAATCTTAGACTAAATTACGCTACAAACTGTAATTTCTCTTTTTAGAAAAAAATTTTTATCTCACCTTTTAAGGAGTATTTGTTGTAAAATAATTTAGAATGAGTTATTTTTCCATTTATTATTTTTAATATAAATATAACAAATATAAATACGAAATATATATATATATATATATATATATATATCATGTAATATATATTAACTATTCATGTATCAATAATTTCACTTTTAAATCATAATTATATTATTCTGATTCTATGTTATATTTATAAAAAATAGTAAAAATAATAATATTTATATATTTAAGAATCATTTTAGTTCAACTTTCACGTAGGTAAATGAGTATAAAACAATTATTAATATAGTTTTGTTTACGATAAATTTATTTATTTTAATTAAAATTATCTTTAAAACATACTAAACTTTTTTAAGGGTTTAGGGTTTAATATCTACATGTTAAAAACAAAACATCTAGGTAGTTATAATTAAAATGCTAATAATATTACAAAGCTTTTTTTACTCGTGACCAATTTCACTGTGTTCAGAATTAGTGTGTGTGTGTGTAAGGGCTATGCAGTAATTTTGGTGTAATTAATGGGCAAAACTGTATTACTATCAGTGGATTAAGGGCTATCTTGTAATTTTCGTTAGATTTGTTTTTAATTAAATTTAAAATCAAAGTATGGCCGTTAAATAGCAGTTAGACTTCACAAAATGTTGTCTTCTTCTTTTTTCATTATCCAACCAAAGAGTCGTTTTCAAACTTAATTATTATTTTTTAATTAATTAAACATGGATATGAGTTATTAGCAATCTAATTTGTATTCTCTGTATTGTCATGACAAAACATGTTAGTATGTCTTATTATTTAGGGATTGAGGTGAGAGAATATTTCGGCACTAGATTAATTTTCCAATTTAAAATGCTACCAATTACTCAAGTTTAACCCAAAAAAATGATTAGAAGTATATTATTAAAATTTTTATTTTTTATAAAAGTGATTTTATAATAATGAATAATACATTAAAAATGACTAAATGAGGATTAATAAGAATAAAAATGAAAAAATAGTAAAAAAATAAAAACTTAAAATATAAGTAAAATCAGAAGACTAATTATTGTTTATATAGATAAAAAATTGTTTAAAATGCCTTATAATAAATAATTAAAGGAGTAAATAAAATAACTTTTGAAATATAATTGTGGTTTTGAATTTGTTATAAATCTCGTACCCAGCAAACTTACTTTCATATTAAAAACATGATGTTATATGGCACTAACCATTTCTTCCTCGTCGTATTGCACTCTCGCCACTAAAGTGCACGATAGGTGATAAAAATCAACAATTTTGAATGCATAACCATAAAATTTGCCTGATAATAAGGAACGTAGTAATATTGGATTACAAGTATGTGGTTCTAATGCATAATAAAGATGGTCTACTACAACATAGGTCTGCCAAAAGTGAAAAATTGCAAACTCGAAGAGGGAGATTGGGAGAAAAATTTTCTGAAACTAACCCATCAAAATCCTAGGCACAAAAGAAGGATGGGATGAAAAACAAAAGGCCAAAAATGGCTCAAAAGTTACACCTTGTTTTTGATAATGGATTAGTTGAAAGTAAAGTGAAAAAGGGTAAGTAACTGTTAATATCAGTTTATTAAAGCATGTGAACTGTTTACGTCTTCACGTTTTTTTTTTTTTTTTTTCTCGCGACCACTTTTTCAAAACTCCTTTTTCTGCCACCCTTTTTAATTTTACTTTCCGCTTTTTCCTTGGGTGGAGGAAACCTGATACTCACAAGTTATGAATTAAAATAGTACTCATTCATTTTGAATTAAAGTCAAGTTATGAATTTATTGAATTTTATCAAGTATAATTCAGTATCATCGATTCATTTATCATGTGATTCTCGTCCAAACATGCATTGATTTTTCTCCTTCATTCCAATTCCAAATTAATTACAGGTTTGGAAAGGTTGTGCTTCTTCTTTGAATTTCAACCAAAAACAATCACTTAACATAAGTTAGAGTTTGCATCTTAACGTATGCCTTTTTCATTTCACGTGCAATGTTGACAATATATTAAGAAAAAATCAACTATTTTAAACAAACTAACCGCTCTCTTCTAAGTTAAATAAAATAAAATTTAATAATTTGTTGATATTAATTTGATCTAATAATAAAAATGTGAAAGAGTATTTGGTTAATTATAATTGATTTTTTTTATAAAGATGAAAATTAAATTGTTAAAAAAGCTAATAGATAATGTATATCTATCCCCCCCTTTTTTTCAACTTCAATTTTTAAACCAATATAAAAACCGTATAAAAAATGGTTTTAAAAGAGAGGTCCAACATGTGATGCTGAGAGAATTGCAGAAATATTGAGAATTAGATGGCAACACTTAAAACCACAATTCAATCAATTGTAGGATTGGACCACTTCTGTTGCTACTTCGTAATTCCTACCCTTAACGTAACATCGAATGATCAAATCTAATCAACCTAATTTTTTAATTACCATTAAAACAATTTTGTACGATTTAAAATAATTCTATGCATTTTTTTACTAAACAAGATATATTATTAAATAAAAATTAAAGCTTATAAATATTTTATCCAACAACTTGTAAAATGTAACATCGCATACTCTTTATTTAAGTTATTATTTATAATTTTAATTTAAAACTAGCTTTTTCAGTAAAAAAAAAAAACGAATGAAACGTACCTTCATGATTTGCTTGGTTAGAGGAAAAATAGAATAACGAGAAAAGGAAAAATGGTAAATGAAAGAAAAAAAAAAAGGTGAAAAATAATTATCCTAAATAAAACGGAGCTGTAGAATAAATAGGAGTATATTTTATCAATCTATATGAAAAAGCTTATATTCTTCTCCTCTTCATCCATTTTTATGAAAATATTTTTACCGTAGTTATTTTCTTCTTCTGTGCTTCTCTACACACTTCTATGAACATTTTTACCATGATTGATTCATATAATATTTGTATGAAACTAAGAAAACATTCATGTGGTTCTTACACAGATTGGCCGTATGATTCCATTGTTAGAAATAGAAGAACAATCAAATATAATAACATTGATATAACATCAAGAATAAATATAAATCATCTTTCCTATTTTTATTATTTTTTATATTTTGTGTGATTCGTTTCCTTTTCCAGAACAATTGTTTTAAATGATTATGGTAAACCTAAAAATACATAAATAATAGACGCAATAAAACAAAAATAAAAAACTTAGATATTTTATCCAGAATTTGAAGTGTGCAAAAAAGAAAGATGTAAAGGGTAAGTTGTAGCTGACGTTGCCACATGTTCTTCAGATACACACAGTCAATATCAGCATTTAAACGTTAATAAAATAAGTAATCCGTTGAAAAAAAAACAAATGATTAAGAGGAAGAAGAAGAAGGAGAAGAACGCGCATGCGGGAAACACACGACAGAGAAGATAAATCCCGAACTGAAAAGGAGGAAATGAAGAACGAAGGCACCAACCTAACCTAACCTAACACCCCAATTCGAGCTTCCTTTTCCCTTCTCCCTCTTGTACGTTCTTCTCCTTCCAATTTCGTCCACTTTCTATCATTCTCACTCCATTTTAGTTTTCATTTCGTGCTCTGTTCATCTTTCTTCTAATCAATGTTACTCACTCGTTCATTTTGAATTATTTTCTTTAATTTAGCATTTTCCTGTTTACTTTGCTGGTTCTATATCGAATAATAATTTAGTTGTTCAATTATACGCTATCGTTGGTTGGAGTGAAGCTACCTACCTACCGTTGAAATTTTTCCAGCTCTGCACTTTTTTTTATCAATCGTTTGCTTTTAAGGGTGAGAAAAAAAAAACCCGTGAAGACGTTTTCGATAGTTTTGTTTTCTTTCATTTTTAGGATTTACTGAGATCACCTTCTCCGAATCGGCCTTGGTGTTCTTCATTTACCCGTGAAATTCATTGTAGCGGATCTGACTTAGTTTTTGGGCGGTTTGCAGATACTGCATGCGTATGGGGTATGTTTCCTGATGTGAACAAAGATAGTTATCTTCCTTTTAACTTTTCTTTCATTTTTGTCCCTTTTATCACTGTATGGGTATTGAGAGTGAATTATGTGACTTGGATGATTGTATACCCGGCGTTAAAATCTGAGAATATTCTTTTTTATTTTTTCTTTATTGATTTTTTTTTTAATATGATTGTCTTGAAAGTTTGTGTAAGGGACTAAACTTAGCTTGAATTGGTTGATATATCCTTCTTCTCTCCTTTAACGTGGAAACAGAAGTGAAACAAAACCATGAAAAATTAACACTAGTCTTAATTTTCTGAATAGAAGTGGTTGGCATGCTCGCGGTAAGTGGAGGAGCACAAACAAGGTATTTTATCTGTTTGCTGAAAACACAAGAGTGCACGTTAGATGTGTAACTAATGATTTGAATTCATGGTTAAGGACCAAATTAGGCAAAATATGTTTGAAGGAGAATAGTCAATGTTCTATGTAATTTTCATTTAGCCTTTGTGAGTGCCTGTTAGAAACTTTACCATTGATTGAATGTTGTTAAGTCTTTTCTTTTCACTATATATCTCTTTCGATTTTCTGGTATGTGGATATTGCTAAGTACTGGCATGATTCTCTTTTCAATATAATGGCTTATATGAATATGCTTTAATTCACAACTAATGTAGTCAACATGTTCCATCCCAACTTTCGTGAAAATAAATTTCTGGTAGAAGCTGCCAATGTCATTGCATTATGTGATTTCATCCAATTATATTATTCCACACAGCAGGGTACTGATGTGATCATGCATACGCTCCAACCTATAAAATATATATTACACGTGTAATAATACGTAGTGAATATAGTACACACACACACAGAAAATACACTAATGGTATGTGTTTGGCTATAATAAAAATATTTTCTAGGGCATATTCTCTCTATAGCTAGCTAGGTTGTGACGTTCGACATATATGAAAAGATTTATCAAGTAAGAATATTTTTTATTGTAAAAGTATTAATGTTTTAAATTTATACTGGTTTCATTTATAGAACTAAACCATTAAACTCTTATTTGATGTTTCGTAAGACAAGCAATGTGTATATATACATACATATAAAAGAAACTCGGATGAGAATACTAGCAGAGAATTGTACCTTGGAATAGAGAAACTGGAGACTTTTGAAGTTTGAACAAGGAGATATCAAACCTAAGGAGTTGAAATTTTCTATGTTTGACTTGTAATATCGTCCTTATTAACCTGCTTCAGGAAGTATATGTGCTGCAATTCGACCCATTTGGTTGAGACTCCACATACATGACAAGGAGACACCCTATTTCCTGCTCTGGATCTCTGCTTGAACTTAAACTTATCACACTCTCTTTGGTCATTGATGTGGCCCATATATCTGCTATTCAACAAGATTCTCAAGACAGGAGATGAAAGAGAACTAAAAGGAGATCATTTGAATGCAATAGATCCATACCTGTTTCAGCAACCATCCAGTAGATCATTTGATGTGGCCCATCCTCCCTCCTTGTGCCGTTCACACCTCCTTGAAGTAAGAGCATGTGATTTGTGGCTGAAAACTCATTCTGTACTTATTACACTAGAAAAATATTCTTTACTTTAAGTTGATCTAATTATGCTTATAGGTACCACACGTAAATCAAATATATACATGGGACTGTGGTCTTGCTTGTGTCTTGATGGTTTTGAAAACTATTGGTGTCAACAACTACGACATTCAAGCACTGGCTGAACTTTGCTGCACGACCAGGTCTTTTACTCTATAAAAGCTTAAAATTGTTGTTACTCAGTCATATGAAATGCTTGAAGATCCTAGACTATATATGCATGGTTTATAGCGAATTAGACTTAGATGTGGATTTTAAAGTCCTATGATGAAAGTTATGGAAAAACTAAGAGCTTTATAATTGGGTCAAGATGTGGTGTCTAATCCATTGTGTGAATCCTTGCTTAGTTCATTTAATGTGGATTTCCCTGGTGTTTTGGGTTTGCAGAACCAATAGGTTTTATGACACTTGGAAAGCATGTATTTTCTCCTAACGTAAGCGTGTTTGCTTCAGAATTAATGCTATTGTAAATAAATCATGAAATGGCTATATTTCCTTACCATACCTGGTAGAACTTCAGAAAGCAACTTGGAAGTTGGTCGTCATGTATTATATAGATTTGCAAAAACAGTTGAATATGATAGTTTGATATGAAAATTTATGATGAACTTCTGACTAGTCTCACTGTTTACTTCTGTTATGCAGCATTTGGACTGTTGACTTGGCGTATTTATTGCAGAGATTCTCTGTTGCTTTTTCCTACTTCACAGTGACTTTTGGTGCAAACCCAAACTATTGCGTTGAATCATTTTACAAGGTTATTCACTCTCATACTGAGATAGTTACAATCACTTTACTTTTCTTTAATATTAGTAAACCCTGAATATAGTCATCAGGAGAATTTGAAACATGAATTTGGTCATGCAATCATGAATTTTGGTTGTCAAACAGTTACTTAGGGCTATTTGTTTTATGCTGCAAAACTATCATTTGAAGTCTGACGAGTAGATAGCTCTAATAATCTTTAGAAGACCAAATTTAGGTTTCAGAAATGTTGAGGACTAAAATGGGGATTTATTTTGTCTCTTGTGTCTTTGCTCATGTGTGAGTAATTGAAGAAATTGAAAATATAATTTTTTATTTTTATTTTTTTATATTTGATAAGCAAGTTAATATAACTTCTTTGAGACTGGTCAAAATATGGGTTTAAGATATATTGGTATCAGAATATCATACAAGAGGACATTTTAAATGGCATAGGGTTAGGTGATTCACCAGTGTTATCAGCAAAGTTAAGTTTCTTATGCCCAAAATGCACCAGAGCTTCCCTCAATGTCTTATTGATAATCATGAATTCATGTTTGAGTGGAATGGATGCCATTTTATAGGATATGACATGTCCATTTTATGATTGTCAATTTTGATGCTGGTGTATCGGAGATTTTGAAGGAACCATGATATATTGATCTTTCATCTGCATGCATTCAATACTTTGTCTAGCAATTGCATAAATTTGATTGGAATTTGTTGTAAACATTGTGAAGGAGGAACTGCCTAATGATCTAGTGAGAGTGGATTTGCTATTTCAGAAAGCAACGGAAGCTGGGATTGATATACAGGTATGTTGATGCCTGCTCCTTTTTAAGTTGATCCTTTCAGTATAATTTTGAGAGAAGTTACAAGATTGTCTCCTATTGGAGAAGAAAAGGAAAATGTTACGTCATTTTTTTCATTAGTGTTTTATTGTTATGTTTGTGTGGGTAAGAAATAATTAATGGGTGTGAACTCAGTTCAGACAGTTGTAATTTTACTGCATACATGAGCACTGATGATTAGGAAATCAGCTTTTTACAAGGCTTTGTAAAATGGTTGTTTCTGGTAGATATGTTGGAATTTGAAGAAAATGACAAGTAGAATTTTATGGTTATTATCTTTGTTTTACTTCTGTGTGGAGATTTTATATGCTTCTGGCTTTGTTTCTTCACTAGTAGCCAACAAACCTTTTGTAAGGAATCACACAAGAACAGAAACAGGAAAGCAAAGAAATATTTTATTAAGGGTAAAGAACAGAAAATAAAAGCCTCTCTTTTAAGGGTTTCCCCCCTTGACAAAGGATTTCTCCTTTCACCAAGAGCAAAAACTCAATCTGCAAATGATACAAGATAGGGTGCCTCTGCCTTTACATCCCCTCGAACTTACTGATCTACTATCAATCTACAATCACAGCCCTAACTTTTAACAAAATTTCAATTCCCATCTATTTACAGTGCAGGTCGTTGAGTGCTGAAGAGATTTCCATTCTCGTATTGTCTGGGAAATATATTGCTATTGCCTTAGTTGACCACAACAAATTGAGGTACATTTTTATTATAATCATTTTTTTACTGGCTTCAATACTTTGTTTACAACTTTAATACATTTACCTACACCAATTGCTCACTCCAACTTTAGATAACATTTGAGGTAATCCAAGTTCATTAATTGACAAATTCTTATTTAGAAAACTGGCTGCTCAGGGTGTAATGTAAATTCTTTACTATTTTCATTTTCTTTTCCCCAATAATGTCGTTTCCCTTGGTGATGGGCAATTCTAGCTGCTTCTGAAAAGGTTCTGTTTCAGTCATGTTTGTCAAGAAGGTGTTCCTGTGCCTGGTGTCTTTGGCAACAACCCTGGCTATACAGGTGAACATCTATATTTTAGCTTTAACTTATTTGCATCTGCTTTGGATGCATTATTTCGTAGTGGACGTTACACCAGTTGTGTGATGTTCTAAATAACTTGTTCATATATAAGTTTAGACATGTTTTATTCTTTTTTCTTTTACTAGAGTAATGGGCAATAAACATTTTCATGGATTTTCACAGACCTTCCTTCAAGAAGCCATGTTAAATCTGATGTTAATTTTTTTTTTCTTTGTGTATCTGACAGTGATGTGCTACTCTTATAATAGACAATTTTCTACTCCAGTAAACCTTTGTACCAAATTTATGTTGAATATGATATATTTCAATTTAACTCAATGTTATACCCGTTGACCTAGTTTTATTTTGAAAACAAATTAAATTATTTCAAATTGGAGGAAAAAACATTGTTTTTTGTTGACAAGTAAATTTTTGGACAATATCTCAACATCTTTAAGTTTTCTGGTTGGAGATTTGCGGCAATCTGCTAGGTTTTTCTACACTTGTAATTGTAGTTAGTGGTCATATCCATTATCCTCTGAACTATAAGGCTTATCTATTTGAAACATAGTTATTAAACCAAATCGACTCCCCAGTGCCCTTCAAACCTGAATAGTCTATTGGTTTAGGTGAAACCTGCTTGACTTGAAGAGCTGATTCAACCTGAGCTGTTTGCTTCGTTACAAATTCTATAAAGAAACCATGAATGGTCTCTCCATTCATTAAATATTCTGCGTGAACTTGAGGACCTACCTCCATCATTTATAGTTACGTCATAAGTTTGTGAACCCAATGATGTTTCTTTTCTCAATATTTGATATTTCCATTTCCCAAAAAAATTAACTTATGCGTTTTTATGGAGAAGAAAGCTAATGTAAACTTAATATTACATATATTGTCGCAATGTTAAGTGCTTTGGCTGAAAATTATTTCAAAGATTGATAGCTGTTGGTAGCCTAAAGTTCTAATTCTTGAACTCCAAGATTTACACTTGTTTAGCTGATATTTTTCTGATATGTGAACAGCTAGTCAATATTCTTATGATATAATTATACCTCTATTAGTATTTATGGTAACAGTGTAAACTAATCAATTTATTAAATTAATTAATAATTGGAAAAATTCATTGCCAGGTCACTATGTGTTGATATGTGGCTATGATGCTGGAGCAGATATGTTTGAGATTAGGGATCCTGCCAGCTCTAAGTATCCTCTTTTCCTTCTTTCTACTTTTTTCTGGTTTTATATTGAAATTTTCTATACAATACTATTTTTTCCTCACTGATATATTTACCATTATATTTGGATCACAAACATGATATGTGGATCCAAAACTCATTAATGACTGAATTATTCATATGTTAATTTATTTTCAAGAAAAAATTCTTAGAGCGTATATGATCATATAAAATGAGGTAAACAATATACGAAATAATTGTCTATCTGAATGTCATTGTTGGAAAACAGTCTTGGTTGTGGTCACCCTTAGCCTGTTGAAACACACAAAACAAAGAATAAAAGAGAAGGAGAACAAGAGATATGGAGTACTAATCTTATATCTTATAAATAGTACATTCTATTTATAGTACTATTACAAGCAATTAGTTAACATCCCACTAACTACCTAACATACAACACTTACTAAGTTATCTACAACATAGCTCACCTTCCTTGTGGTCTCTTAGAAGGTTGCCTTAATTGCGGAAGAAACCTAAAAGCAATTCATTTTTTAGGAGTTGTGCCCTACATTACATCTGAATTTCATTACATCGGAATTTGATAATAAAAGAGTAAATATTCGCCCGCGAGAATTTTGATTTTATTGATTTTTTTTATATTTTTGCCAATTCTAAGAATCAATATTCAAAACAAGATATCAAAATTTCCAAGATTGTATGAAATCTCCAAAAATACCAAGATTCCGTTATTTACTAAACATATGAATATTTGTACATATTTTTTTATCGATTAGATTGAATCTATATAGATATAGATATTTGAATTACTTCATTCGCGAGGAGCCGTATTAGGTGAAAATCTCACGTACGGTTCTGTAATAAAGATGGAATTAAAAAACAATCATCAATTATAACCCCCAAAGAACCAGATTTCGTAAACAACATAGAGGAAGAATGAAGGGAATATCCTATCGAGGTAATCATATTTGTTTTGCACCTCAAAGGTGGTGGTTTAGTTCCAACAGTCTTCACCTTACAAATTGAATTTGTGAAGTTGAATTAGGTCATAAAGACAATTCTAAGATGATAGCAAAGTCTAGCTTAGATCTATTGTTGGGTCACCTGCATTTGTCACTTTTCTGACGGGTAGCCTTAGGCATAAGTGAGAGTGCTGGGAAGCCACCTTCGTTGCCGCCTCTTTGGGGGACTACCTTAGTTGTCACCTTAAGGGTGGTGGTTTAGTACTAAATTGACTGGAGATATGCTTAAATAGATCTAGTAGAGCTTAGACAATTTCACCTAATAAATTTGTTTTGTAGAGTTGAGTCAAGTCCTTGAAACAAATTCTAATAGTCATAATTTTTTCTATTTTCATCATTATTCCCATATTACTGTGACAATTCCACAGAAAATTGCATATTGCTAGTAATTTTCTGTCAGCGTCCAGAAATAATTTAATGCGGCATTGTTCTAAGTGTCATTTAACGTAATGCCTTGTAGCCTTTTTATTCTTTGCTGGGGGGGGGGGTTGCGATCTCATTTCTTAAAGTAAAATTATATGCCATATTCGACGACATGGGTATGTTCAAATGTATATGACTCCTTAAATTCAATTACATAGATATTGTGTACTGTCCTCTGAAGACAATGTTGTACACAAGTTTTCCAGTCTTCAAGGTATTGTCATGAATCAAACAATATTTTTTTAATATGAAAATCTATAACTTTTTAGATAATGTCTGGGAGGAAAAATTTTCTATGATCAAGTTTTTAATGAAAATGACTAGAAAAAATATGTTAAAGTAGAGTTGTTGCAAGCTATACGGCAACTCATTGTTCAAGGTAAACTATATGTGATTTTATGCTACCTGAGTCTTTGAATAAAGTTTATTCATGTGCTTTTGCTCAATAGATGCTGCATTTGCTGTGTTGAGCATTCAGATTTATGTGGTTTTTTAGAAAAAGTTCTTTCCAGTGCAATTTATCCAGGCAAATGTATTTTTATGATACTGACAATGGTTCCATTCCCATTGTATCACTGGTAGTGTTAGTGTATGTTAAGCCTTTTGTTTTATTTTACTGGATAAACCATTTGTTTCTTTAACTTTGTCGTATAATCATGTTAACCATTTAGAAGGGTCAGAGTGCTTCTATAACCATATATATATATATATATATATATATATATATATATATATATATATAATGAAATAAACTGCTAGAGCAAAACTAGGCTTAGGCAAAACATATTGTCCTTCCCTTGCATCCATTTAGATGTCTTCATACATGCCTTAGATGACAAAATCCGTTTGTGTGAATATTCTTAAAATTGTGTTATGTGTCATGATCCTTGCTCTATTCCTCTTCACCATGGTTGAATTTTCTGATACAGCAAAGGACACAGCGTAAACGAGTGAAATGACATTGGTGAAATAGTCAATTTTTATTTTATTAATTTTCATAAACAATATGCTGAAATTTGACAAGCATATGCATATAATTTGAGTGAATAAATAATTGCCTGGTTCTTTTTTGTGATTTTGATCCTAAAATAACAGTTGACTAGTCATCTTTATAAGTTTACAAATTCAAAATTCTCTGAATGTGCAGGAAACACAAGAGGATTTCTTCAAAGTCTTTAGAAGAAGCTCGGAAAGCCTTTGGTACTGATGAGGATCTTCTTTTGGTAAGCATCGTATACGTCAAATCATCTTTCACTAGGCTATTTGATATATACTACTAAAGTTACCCTCTAAATTTTAGCCATGGTTTTTGTTAAACTTTATTTTTCTCACTTGACCAATATTTTGAAATAAGTTTCTAAGTGTACCTTTTAGGGTGTGTTTGGGATAGCTGCGGGAGTTATATTATTTGAATAATGAATTATAATACCGAGTAGTCTTTATTTCGATGAGTTTACTGAAAGGTAGTTTAAAACATAGTTAATTTCATTTGGATGCAACAAAAAAAATCAGTTTTTACATTGAAAAAATGGTATTTATAAAGCTGAAAGGGAAAAAAGTTGTTGAAAAATAATCACGTTATAAATATTTCAAATTTATAAAACCAGCTTATTTTTCTAGGAAGAAAAAAGTCTTTTACAAATTTCAGTTGTTGTCACAAACATTTTGTTTAAATTGCAAACAACCATGAAATATTTAAAATTAATCTTTTTCCATACATGTTTTTATTTACTTTTGGTTTACTTATCAAAGTATGGAGGAGGAGTGCAAGGAATGGTCCCAGGTGGGTACGAACCTGAGATGTATTCGGACTCTGCCTGGTCATTGAGTGTCAAACCACCAGCGCAAAGGCGTGTAGTTTTCCTTTGATCAATCCAAGGCTCTAAGCACTTATTTCGCATTTTATTGATTATGAAAGAATCCATTTCAAGTAATTTTATTGTGCGTTGCAGTATTTGGTAAGTTTGGGGAGTCAGGTTGTTGAGTTTTGAGCACGTGAGAATTTTCTGAATCTGACCTGCAGATGGAGGGTTTCCCTGTATTCTAGCATTGAAATAAATCTCTGTAATCATTAAAAGATAGTTACATTTGTTTAAAAATTAAGTATGTCGGGTTCATCATACAAAAGAATAGAAAAATAAAGGATATGATTCAAGGGTGGATGAAATGGAGGAATATCTAGAGTGTGTTATGTGACAAAAAGGTGCTGCTTCAACCTTAAAGGAAAGTTTTATTCAATCAGCTATCATAATTGTCACTGATTTTTTTTTTCAGGAGTAAAATCCTTAATAGACCCATGTAGTATATGTTTTTTAGGTGAGATGGTTAATGTGATGTCAAAGTGCAACCATCATCATCTTCACTATGGACTTTGAATGGAAGTTTTTTTACCATCGTTAATTTTTTTTTATTATTGACATAACTTGCTTATATCGTTATTCAGTTCCAGAGAATGGTAGAAACTCTTTATTCGTAGATGAATTTCATATAGGATGCACTCAATTTTTTTGGAACCCACATGATTTAGTATGTTGAAACAAGTGTAAAAAGAGTATATTTCTACCATTTCAATTAGTCTTGTATTCGTATTTATTCTCCTCAGTTGACAACGCGATATTATTTTAGAGTAATGATTATTTTTCCTTGCATGGCCAAGCAGATATGTTTGGAGAAGAGCAACAAGCGTCATCAACCTTCTCTGCAATTATCCATTGATGTAAATAGTGATTCTTGATTTTCTTACATGTTTTGTAATAATTTGGCAGTTTTTTTTTTTGCATATATGACATATTCCTTGTGTATTTTAGTAGCTATAGCTTATTATTTATTTATATTCCCGGTATAAACCTCTTAATAGGTTTCGTCTGGGTACTGTGTATGTTTTAATCAAAACTGTATAGTAACTACGAGTTCATTTTGATCGAATGTAAACCATGTGTCCTTTCTCAGAAACGTGTGAGACACAATTGTATTCTTGTTACATTATTTTAATTTCTGAAATACTTAAAACAGTTAATTTCTGATTACATGTCTTATTTTTCATTTAGTCTGCTTCTAATATTATGGGAAATTAGGGGGTGATGTACCCTCAATTTTTTAACTTATATATATATATACATGTCTTATTTCTTGTATACAATAAATGCATGCGATGCGATGCAACCATTTTTTTTTTCTGTGAATTTCTTGCTCATTCATGATGAACCATTACATTAAATTCATCCTTTCTCATATATAGTATTTGGAAAACCCCCGATCATTTACTCTATGTAAAATCATAAAAATACATCAACAACTATCTTTTGCTTCACTTCATTAAAAGTTGTTTGATTTTTCTCACCATAAATCTAAGTACATGAACGCTTGTAATTTTATATATATATTACAGTGCAGTAAGCTAACGTAGACTACCACGTGCGACATATTAATGGAATGCGGTCCTGGTTTTGGGGCTTTTCACCATTTGGCACTTCTTTTCATATTATTATTTCCAAAACTATGGATCTACGATCTAGTTGTGTTGTGATGCTTTTTTAAAACCTAAAAGACAATTTTATGAGCAAGCATGTTTAAGATTCAATAATTATATTCTTGTTGGCTCTGTCATTGCCGTGTTTTTCTCAAACAATTGTTGTCATTACTATGATTAAAAATTTTCCGAATGACGGTGCTGCAGGCATGGTGCGTTAGTTGGTGATGGAAGAAATTAAGTGAGCTGGTCAAAACGGTGATAGATTCTGTAATGGAAGTGGAACTCACTTTTCCAAGAATCTTCTAAAAAGAGTTCCCCCGACACAACACCCACACATGTTCCTCTAATTAAATACTCCTGGAGTACATAAATATTACAGTTTTGTTAATGTAGTTGATACATACATTATATGACTCAATTATAAATAAAATTAACTATTTTTATTTTAATTAAGAATATTAGTTAAATTTATTTAATATATTTTGTTTGTACATGATAAAGAAATATTTTTCTTAATTTTTTTTAAAGAGTAGCATTAAATAAGGTTTAGAGAATTATATTTTGCTTATATTTAAATCTACCGAATACGATTCTTTTTTTACTTATATTTAAATTCTGTGGAAGTATTAAACAAAATGCAGTTCAGCTAATTGAGTGGTATTTGTATATTGTCATAATTTTTTTAAACCTACATTTCATTATTATGGATGAAAAATAATAAATAGTAGCTGATTTGAGTAAGACCGGAATACTTTGGGTAAAGTATCAAAATATTAATTTTATGAATAGAGAAAATATTATTGGAACCACACATTCATTTAAAAGTTATTGGTTAGGTTCTTGAATTCAAATTAATTGTAGGTTCTTTCATTCTAATTAATGTTCAATAAAATTGATGAATTTTTTAACCTACAAACATTGTGACAAAAGGAAAACAAAGAAAAGCTAAAAAAGATAACACATTACTGATAGAATTTTGTGAAAAAAAAAATGGTTTTTAGTTCTTTCAAGTTAGCTAAGTTGTTTTAAGAAATGAAGGGCCTAACGTCAAAATTAACTAATTCTGGTAAGACCAAAATAAGAAACATTATGTTTACAGTAATTGTTAACATTTGGTGGTTTATGTGACGGTAAATTCCAGTATGTCTCCCTTTTATTAGTGATACCTGTTATCTTCTCTTTAGTAGCTACAAGGTATGGTCAAGTGTGTAACTCACAAAGTTTAGGATGAAATTCTCAAATTAAGATTTAGATCAAGGTAATGAGAGAGATGAGGAGACAAACTCCTATTCAAACCATGGTTTTTCAAAGTAAAAGTGAGACATGCACGAGTGTTAAGAAACAACATAATCGTGATTCAATCCATTATAATGTCAAAAGTTGTCAACGATCAAAGTGAATGAATCTTAGGGAACCTAACCTTGCCAATGAAGGGAGTAAAATGAGATTTTGCTTCATTTTGATTTTACTTTTCATCTATCAGATTGCATCTCAAATCAACATCAGAAAACAAAATATTAAAATACTTTAACAGAAGGATATACTAAGCCAGTCATCATTTATGAGTTGTTTGTTACCAAGTCCAATTCTAATGAGAAGAACAAATGGTAACTGAATTAAAAATGGTTGAAATTAACGTGTATTAAAAAAATAAGAGTGAAGTGGATAATGAAAATGGAGACATGTGCAGACTTAGGTGGTGGCCATGACTGTGGCAGATAGAGAGAAGTAAATTTTGATTAAAAAAAAAAGAGAGAGAGAAAGAAAGATGAAAGCAGTCCATATTACAAGAAGTTTGAGACCAAAACACCTCTCCATAGTCTAACACCAATCATTGTCCTCTTGCTGGAATGGGTCACCCATTTTTTTATTTACATACATAACACAATAATATGTGATCTTTACAATTTACATGGTGGTGGACTAAAATATTATACTACAATGATACAGAAGATCCGAAAATTTGATATTGGTGAGCCATAACTGCTTCTGAAATGTTTGGTTCTTTCTTTGTTGCCTGGACTTTGCACTGTTTTTGGCCTGTGGTGCTTCTGTAATGTAATGTAATGTAATGTAATGTAATGTGTATGCCTTAAAATTTAAGTAAAATGTGAGGGTGTGTGTCCATCAATAAAGTCAAATTCAACGAGTCCATTATACACCGGATCTATGATACTGCTCTGCATGTTCTCCTCTATATCTGTCTTATTCATTCTGTCACTACCAAATTCTAATGAAAACGATGGTCCAAAGAGTTATCTCCTTCATGTCTTCTTCTTCTTCTTCTTTTTTTTATTGTTATTAATTATCTAAATACAATGGTTATAAAAATTAATAAATGATTTGTACTAAAAATCTGAATATATCAGCACGCGGATAGATAGATAGATAAACAAGTTGTCTACACATATTAAAATTTCAGAAATTGACGTGAAGACTATTTAGAGAGATAAAACTCAAATAAAAATTGTATTTTCCGCTGCTAGTTTAATTTTTTATAAACTTTTCTCTTACAAAGATTTTGTTATACGAATTGAATGAACTTTTTTTTCATATGATTAGAAAAAAATGTGTTCACTTTAAATTGAAGTTTTTATATAAATGAATTATTTTATGTTAGTTCAAGTTTAACTTAATCTCAAAAATTTATAAGCATTTTTTTTTACAAGGAACATTTTTTATTTTTAATTAAGGTAGAGTTATTTATACATTTAACTTTCTCTTGGAATATTTAATGTAAAAATAATAAATGCAAATTAGTTAATGCTAAATGTATTTTAGTTTCATTTATGACTAATATTTTTCTGTTGACATTTTACTTATAGTCACCTAATCTACCAACTTAACAAAAACATCTATATAACTTAATCATTTTATTTTATTTTTACTTTACTTCGGTATAAACTATGGACACAAAAATTTGAAAATCAAACAAAAATTCAAATATTAAAAAAGAAAAAATTAATGAAAATTCATTAAGTCACATTTATGTATAAGTAAGTCATAGATGTAACTTAAACTTCCTCATAACTTGCATTCTTAATTAACTTTCATCTCGTGCATCTTCACTCTTTCCTAATTCTAAACTAAACTGAACTAAGAAGTAAATTATTTTTACATTATGTTATTGTTTTTTAAATCATTCAGCTTTACAAATTAGGTACTCTTTATTTTAAAGTTAAAACTTATTTTGAGGCATTAAATATAACTAGCATACACATGTCAAAATTAGTTATAATCATAAAATTTATATTAACACATGTCGGGTAAAATTATATAACTTATATATTTCATCAATCATAATTTGACACAATAACTGTAATTTTTTTCATACCGTTAATGTGTTCTAAATTAATTCAAATACAAACAAAGAGAATCTTAAATTTTGTAATCTTATTAAAAGTTCAAATATAACCTAAGTTATAGGTAAAATGCAAACAAGTCATCATTTTAAATTATTATAAAATAATTAAATTGTAGTTTTAATTCGTGTCAGATATATATTTTAATCTATTATTTTAAATTAAATTTTGTTTATTTTCCCCAATATCATTTAAAAAAAATGAATTATATTTATTTTATGTATCTTAAAAAAGTTAGAACTAGTATTAAATACTGGCATTATGTTACAAATGGACCTCATTTAAGACTTTCGCTCAACATTTCACAGTTAACAGTTGCCACGTAATATCAGAGATAAAAAAAATGATTTTAAATTTAAAGAAATGAAAAAAATTAGGGAAAAAATAAGTTTCGTTCATTTTACATATATAAAAACAATAAATTTAATTAGAAATAAAAGAGCAATAAAGTGGTTATAGAAAAAAACTTTTATATTTTGATATTTATTACAGTTATTTCATTTATACAAACTAACGAGGAAGATTATTGTAGTTTTTGGTTGTACTGTCTTGTCTATCATACGTATTGAAAAGGGCTTAAACGCGCGCCACATTTTGATAGTGAAATGAAGTGATATGCTATCTCTATTCTTTTTAGGCGCCAAACCCTAAACACCTTTCGCGCCAATTCTTCTTCAATTTATTAAAACCATATTATATTTTACTCATCAACAAATGATTTTTAATATTAAAAAAAAAATTGACAACCGATGGGTGCAGAATACTAAAAAGTTGATATGGAAAATTAATACAAGTACATAAATATCAATTACAGCTGTAAAGGATTATAATGTAAATTTTATTGTAAAAATAACCTAATAAGTGTATTATTACTTAAAATAAATAAATAAAATAAAGAAG